CCATCAGTCTCAACATACTCTGAGGTGAGTGAACTTATTCGGATCAGCTTTTCTGAAACCGAAAACTTTGAGTTTCACATCTCAGAGTTCACATCTCAGGCTCAGTCAACTCGGAGCTGAGGGATAAGGTCAGTTTGTTAAACCTGCTTTCTGAAACAGGGCCCTGGTATTTTGTTTAAGTTAAATTTTGCAATAACATTTCAAAAGAGTTTGCAATCTTGTCATCAATCTTGACAAAATGTTCCTGAGTTTGGAAACTTCCTGTTAAACATCTGCTAACTTGAACCTTTGGTTGAAAAAACAATCACAAAACACTCTGCAAAGTCCTGGTGTGACTGATTAGCTTCAAGCGTTTCCAGGCTCTTCAGCACCTCCCCCACTTGTCTTATTTCTCATTCGTGTTACCTTTCACCTGCTCCTCTGATTCAACATCACAGATGTGGAACAAAGTTCTCTCCCGTCCGTACACTTTCTCAAGGGCTTCCATTAAATTCTTTCCTTCAGTTTCTTTCACATCCAGGAGGGCTACCTGCACAGGTGAAGAGCCATCACATATACAATCAGTAGCCTTTTTTGTTTTTTACTTTACTTCTCACTATTTATCTGTACTTATTTATGGTCTTTTGTTGCTGAAAAAAACAACAGAATTTCCCATCTGGGAATCAATAAAGGCTTATCTAATCATATCTTGTCTTTATTCTACCTTTATTGATTTAAATAGGGTGAAAATAACTAGTACATGTAGTACATATTCTTTAATTCACATTTGAGGTACTTGCAGGCTATTGTAATATAATATAATAATAATCTTTACTTGTAGAGCACTTTTCAAAAACAAGTTACAAAGTGCTTTAACAAGTGTAAAGACAATAATACCCAAAAAACAATAATACAGAAACAATACAAAATAAAAGCAAGAAAACATTGAAAAGACTAAAATACACGTTTAAGATAAATATAAAATAAGCAAAATAGAATAAAATAAAAGGGATAAAATAAAGTCAAATAAGATCGGGAAAAGTACTCCTATAAAAGTATGTTTTAAGAAGGGACTTAAAAGAGTTCACTGACTCAGGCGACCTGATTTCCTTGGGCAGGCTGTTCCAGAGCCTCGGGGCCCTGACAGCAAATCCTCTGTCATCTTTAGTTTTCAGTCCAGACTCTGGAACAGACAACAGACCTCTGCCCGAGGATTTCAAGGTACGTGCTGGTGTGTATGGGAATAAAAGGTCAGAAATATAACAAGGCGAGAGGCCGTGAAGAGCTTTAAAAGTAATCAATAAAATTTTAAAGTCAATTCTAAAACATACTGGGAGCCAGAGTAGTGAAGCTAAAATAGGGGTGATGTGGTCATATTTCTTTGTTCTGGTTAAAAGCCAGGCAGCTGAGTTCTGGACAGTCTGGAGTCGATAAGTAGATTTTTGGGTTAAACAGGTGAAAAGGCTGTTGCAATAATCCAGGCGTGATGAGATGAAGGCGTGTAAAATGGTCTTGGTGTCCTTAAAAGTTCACTTAGATCGAATTTTTGCTATATTTTTAAGTTGTTAAAAACATGATTGAACAAGCTTTGTGGTGTGCTGCTCGAAATTTAAATTACTATCAAACCAGACACCAAGGTTCTTTGCCACAGGCTTAATGTGATTTACTAGGGAACCAGCAGATGGCAGTATTTGTTTTGCCATCTGCAGGGACCCGATGACCAGGATTTCTGTTTAGTCTGAGTTCAGCTGGAAATTATTTCACATCCATTTTTTTTTTTCACAAAGGCAGTTGTTAAGTGAACTCAGCATTCCAGGTTCTGTGGATCTGATGGGCAAGTACATTTGTGTGTCATCAGCATAAATATGAAAAAGAAATACCATGTTTATGGATAATATGTTCATGGGGAAGCAGATACAAGGAAAACAAAATGGGTCCTAAGACCGACCCCTGAGGCACACCATATTGGACAGAATGAAGAGACATAGTTGTTTACAGACACGCAAAACTTCCTATTTGACAGGTAGGATGAAAACCATTCTAGAGCAGTACCAGAGATCCCCACCCAGTGCCTCAGTCTGTCTAACATGATGTTGTGATCAATGGTGTCAAAAGCAGCGCTATGGTCCAGGAGTACCAGGACTGAGCACATACCTTCATCAGCAGACATTACAGTTTTTTTCTGATTGCTTGAGCACATTTTTTGTAACTATTGGCTATTTTTGCAAAACTCTACACACAAATAAGAAAACCACCCAATTATCAAAACATTGTAGTTCTCTTGCAAAAGCGAACACAGCTAAATTAACTCTTCACACCTTCGTAAAAATGGTGTTTTCATATCAAACACAAGCCATCATCTACTAAGCACACAATGTGCCAACTACACACTGATGGTATGAATACAAAACTCTGGCTTTTGCTTTCTCTGTGTACAGATGTCAATTTGAGGTCATACTTTTGTCATAGTGTCATGTAAACATACAAGGATCCAAACTTCAAGTATTGGTGTTTATTCACACTCATCAAAACCAAGACAAAGTCAGAACACAAAATAGTAATTTCACAAAAAAACAACAACAAAAAAAACCAATCAGCCTATATCATGTCGTCTTTCTGGGTCCGGCCACAAAATTTCGTCCACATCTCATGCGATATCCTCCAGTCCAAGGCACCCGGGGAAAATATCTCCTTGAATGCCGTATCCAGGCCTGACATGATGCCTGGTCAATATCTGCACATGCGTCCTCCTTTGCCTGTAAAAGGGCTACCTGTTGATGAGGATGACGGTCGTACACTTTCCAGCGCCAGGCAGAGAAGAACTCCTCGATAGGATTTAAGAATGGAGAGTATGGAGGGAGGTTGAGTGCCATGAAGAATGGGTGGTCTGTAAACCAGTTGCGGACCAAAGCAGCCCTATGGAAACTAACATTGTCCCATATGATGACATATCGGGTCTGCTCTGGTCTCTGAACAGTGAGCATGTCATGTAAGGTGTCCAGGAATGCAATAATGTGTGCAGTGTTGTATGGGCCTATGGTTGCATGATGGTGAACAACACCATTTTGGCTTATAGCTGCACACATGGTTATGTTACCATCACGTTGTCCTGGGACATTGATGATGGCACGTCTCCTGGTTTTACTGAGTTTAAAACCGGCCTCATCTACAAAAAGTAGCTCATGTCCCATGGCATCTGCTTCTAGTTCAATCACTCTCTGGACAAGACAAAACAAATGCAACACATCAGGCCCATGCACAGCCCTACAGTATGCACTTCCAAATTCACACAGTCGGCAAAATAGTGTTAATGATAGCCATGCATGTGTATAATTTTGCTAGGAGTGTGTTGGAAATTTGGTAATTGAATGTAAGCAGTGAGTTGTGTTTAAAGTTCTGCAAAAAGAGTGTTGTGCAGTGAATTGTGCCTACAGTTTTGCAAAGTGTGTGTTACAAAATTGCAAACTGAGTGCAAAGCAGTGTTTGTGCTTTTAGTTTTGCAAACTCAGTGAGTGGTTTTGCTATACGTATTAATAGTTTTTAGAAATTGTGCTACAAGAATCACGAGTAGCGCTTAAGCATTCAGAAAAAACTGTAAAAGGTCATTGGTGAATTTAAGCAGGGCAGTCTCAGTGCTGTGGTAGTTCCTAAAACCAGACTGAAACTTTTCAAATAATTTGTTATTTTCCAGTACAGTGAGCAGCTGTTTGGACACAATTCTTTGTAGAATCTTTGCAATAAAAGGCAGTTTTGAAATTGGTCTAAAATTATGTGGGAGGGAGGGATCTAAACCAGGTTTCTTTAAAAGTGGGTTCACACAAGCCGTTTTAAAATAATCAGGGACACAACCAGTAGATAGGGAGCTGTTAAAAACAGAGATCAAATGGGGCCCAACAGAATCTATTACTTTCAGTAAAAATTTTGTAGGTATTACATCAAGTGGGCTGGAGAACACTCTCGTTTGTGATACTGTTTTTAAAAGCTCAGACATGTCGATGGGATAAAACTGGTTAAAACTCTCTCGTTGCTGGTGAGGGACCTCTGAGTAAGAGGCCGCGGGGGTAATAGAGGCTCTGATTGACACCACCTTATTGGTAAAATAAGATAAAAACAATTCACAGTCATCATTACTTCCAGCTGAGGCACAAGGAGGGGTTGGGTTTACCAGCTGATCCACAGTCTTAAACAGAAACCTGGGATTGTGTTTATGTGTAGTAATGAGTTCAGAAAAATAGTGTGTTCTCGCATCCTTAACCATGTTATTGTAGTTAATTAATAAATCCTTCAGACTGAGGTAATGGACTTTAATAATGGAAATGGAGACTGGATTTTTTCCTCTGCTTTCCTGCATTCCCTTTTTAGGCTGCGAATGCTGTCATTTATCCAGGGTTGCTTACTAGCTTTAGACGTAGGCCTAACCTTTAGAGGAGATTACTATTACTTGGGAATATCAATTTTATACTACTTTATACTTCTACTTCACCACATTTCAGAGAGAAATATTGTACTTTTCATTTCACTACATTGATTATATATATGTGTATATATATATTCTGTAGTATTGCGACTTTTACTTAAAGCCATGATTTGAATACTTCTTCCACCACTGAAAACAACTAGTAACTGTAGCTGTTAAATAAATGTAGTGGAGTTAAAAGCACAATATTTCCATATAAATATTTAGTGGAGAGGATCTTTAGAGTAGAATAGCATCAAAATACTCAAGTACAATAGCCTGCAAGTAGCCTGCCTCAAAGGTAAATTTAAGTACAGTACTTCAGAAAATATAGGCTACTTAGATTCCACTTTACCTTGGCACCGTTTTGCAGGAGCATCTAAGTCATTGCTTTTCCTATTCCCCCCACTGCTCCGGTCACTATTGCAATTTTACCATTTAATGCCATTTTAGTTGTTTAGTCAGAGGAGAGAAGCTCTCAGCTGTTGAGTCCCTGCAGGAGATGTAATAATGAAGAATGGAGAGAACTCACTGTACTTTTAAACTGACACGCATGGGCAAAGAGCCGGAGGCCATCAGTTTATTGCCTAACTTCATTATGGTTTAATTTTTAATTGTGTTGAAACAAAAGTAATCTAACTACAGATTATCAGTGGCAAACACACACAATGGTAATAGACTCATCAGGCGTGACTCAATGTGGTTCACAAATAAACACTTCATTGAACCAAGTCCAAAAAGTCAAAGACAGCAGCATCAAAAATCACAGACCAGAACCAAAACCTCCCTGTCTGATTATCTGTATATGTCTGCCTGCCTTCCTACAAGTTAATGTCTGTAAGCCTGTCTTATCAATAAATCTCTTAAATCATCCTGCCTGCCTTCGTCTACATTTGAGTCCTGTCCTGCATTTCCTGAGCTGTTACACACCATTATATTTTTTTACTCTGTTTTTCACATTTAACAGATAGTTACTTGTTACTTCCAGATCACGATTTTACATACAAAACTTATGACATATAAAATATGATTCATTATTATAGCTGAAACTACCTAGCAGTATATGAAGCAGCTCCACTGGAACAAAATACACCATTAAGAAGAAGAAAACATTAAGAATGAAGAAATCATACTTATGAATGTTACATTCAACTTCCGCCAATATTTCTGCCAATATCCCCCTAAATCTTACACACTGATCCTTTAAGACATGTTTTTTACTTTGCACATCACCGCACTGAGAGACATTACAGTTTTGATGACAAGATTTAGTCTAACGGTTGATTCTGTATGATGGTGTTGTTTCTCACTGTCAAGAGCTACTAGATCAATGAGGGAAAAGTCATGTATTTCCTTCCTTGTGGTAACACCAGGAGGGCCTCTCCATTCTTCGTCTCATCTGTCAGCAGCTCGAGGAGGCAGTCTGCTACCTCAGATGCACTGAAATATGAAGGTATAGTGACCTCAATAAATATGCATGTACACAGTATCATACGTGTGTTTGTCGTGATAATGTACTTCAACATGATGTCATCAAAGGGTCTAAAAATGACTGTCAGCACCTAAGGTTAACCTGCTGCAGAACAAACAAACAAAAATGTTGTGAGCGTTAGACTTACGTTACCACCCCACGCTTTTCTAGTAATTGTTTGGTTTCATCAGCCAGGTGGGAATATGGCCCCAGATTGGTTGTACTGGTAGAGAAGATTTCAGTTTGGACACAACCTGGGCAAAGGACATTGACCCGAATACCGTAGCCTGATGCAGCAGAGGCAGCCTAGTAACAGACACACACATACACATAATTAAGCTTCAACTGTTCGGAGGAACAATGTATAATACAAACACTGAAAGGAAAAGGCTGTATGTATGTTTAATTATAGTGCTTTTATTCCACTAAACTAATTTCTTTATCTCTCTGCCTTTTATCATAACAAAACCTTCTTTACCGCCATGGCTCGAGTGAAGCCGACCACTCCGTGCTTGGTGGCCGTGTAGACAGGAAAGCTTAATACAGGACTGACACCTGTAGGATGTAGGTTATACAAGTCAATATTAAATTTCACATTTTGAGTTGTCAAAACAGAGATGCACAAAATGTGTCTATGTTGTGTCTTATTTTCATGCAACAATGTCCAGACCTGGTGGCATTTCCCATCAGTGTGCTGCAACTGTGACCCATTTAAATCTTACTATTGGTTCCTCTTAGATGTTGTTTATTCATGTTATTGGCTGTGTGCAGTTTTCTGAGGATTTACCTTATCTAATAATTGAGACAAAAACATTGCATGACAGGATGTGCTTCACGACTGGATAGAAATTGGATCAATAATATGTCTGACGATAGTGAGAGGCATCCAGTAGTGTTTCAGGTGGGTTTACAAAATCAGTGATTTTAATCAGTGTCAAGTTGCAAGTACAGTGATAACTATTCCAGCTAGGCTCTAGCGTTTGGGTGCCACGAGATGTGGGGGCCCTTTTTCAAATTTTAAAAGTTATGAGGTAATTGTCAAAGTTAGTGCATGGTGTGTAAGCTCCTTAGAATATGCAAAAAGTGTATTCAAATAATGGTGTTTTCTTCAATAGGGAGAAACAAACACATCTGTAGTACATGGTGGGCTTTACCTGCCATGGATGAAGTGTTGACGATGACCCCTCCCCGACCTCCACTCAACTTGCTCATGTGCTCCAGAGCCAGGTAAGTCCCCCTGATAACCCCCACCTACAACACAGAATGGTTAATAGCTGTTTTTGGTGTTGTCAGCAGAAATCTCTTTTTCTGTCTATAAAAATGTTAGCGGCTGCTGCAGGCCGTCCTTTGAGTACCAAATGTTGAAACAGAGGAAGCTGAATGCAAAATTTAACTGTCACATTGCCAAATAATTTCTTTACCCTAACCACTAAAAAAGAAAGAAATGAAAATGTTCTTTCTTGCAGTGTTGGAAGACATAATTCATGAAACACTGCATACACAAATACAGTGTGTTGTGGTGTAATTTCCCTTTTGGGAGCCGGGTACAAGTAATGTCCATAATCCCAATCAGAGGTAGTTTGTTACTCTTTCTACTTCTTACAAGGTTTGTGGAGACAGTTTTCTCCCACGCAGTCTCATTCCCGTTTGCGGCATTGTTGCACAGGATGTCTATTCCTCCGAAGGTTTCAATGGTGTTCTGAAAGGCAGCTTGAGATATATACATACATTTATATATATATTTGGCGACAATATTGATAATCCATGAATCAGTCAAGGCGTTTTTTAAAGATAAGTTTTTTTAAAGTTAAATAAAACATTAATAGAGAAAACAATCAGTAGGCCTATTGTTAATGAAAATAATAATTTGTTGCAGTAGTAATTTACTGACATGAAATTATTATTAACTATAATAAAATCTTCACTGAATGTAGACTATGTTATATTCAAGTTATCAAGTTGTATATTTTATATTATGCTATTTATGTTTTTAATCGGTTTTAAATGTACATAACTTCTGCTTTTACCTGTAAAGTGTCTTTGAGTGTCCTGAAAAGCGCTATAGAAATAAAATGTATTTTTATTATTAAGTTGTTTAAGGCTAATATTTTGTATGTTGTGCAATAATTGATGCAATTTTCATCAATCAAGTTCAAGATTTATTTCAGATGCATGAACAAAAAGCTTGTGCTGATGATGTTCCGATGACATATATATATATGTGAAAAAAGTACACCAAGTACATGTGTAACATTTCAAAAGAGGTTGCAATCTTGTGATTTCTGAAATATTTTCTCAAGTTGACCTGCGATTAAACGCCATCTGATCGGCTTAACCCCTGTAAACTCAACAAGACAAAATGTTCCTGAGTTTGGAAGCTTCCTGTTAAACATCTGCTAACTTGAACCTTTGGTTGAAAAAACAATCACAAAACACTCTGCAAAGTCCTGGTGTGACTGATTAGCTTCAAGCGTTTCCAGGCTCTTCAGCACCTCCCCCACTTGTCTTATTTCTCATTCGTGTTACCTTTCACCTGCTCCTCTGATTCAACATCACAGATGTGTAACAAAGTTCTCTCCCGTCCGTACACTTTCTCAAGGGCTTCCATTAAATTCTTTCCTTCAGTTTCTTTCACATCCAGGAGGGCTACCTGTACAGCCATCACATATACAATCAGTTGCCTTTTTGTTTTTTGTTTTTTTTACTTTACTTCTCACTATTTATCTGTACTTATTTATGGTCTAAAACAACAGAATTTCCCATCTGGGAATCAATAAAGGCTTATCTAATCATATCTTGTCTTTATTCTACCTTTATTGATTTAAATAGGGTGAAAATAACTAGTACATGTAGTACATATTCTTTAATTCACATTTGAGGTACTTGCAGGCTTTTGTAATATAATATAATAATAATCTTTACTTGTAGAGCACTTTTCAAAAACAAGTTACAAAGTGCTTTAACAAGTGTAAAGACAATAATACCCAAAAAACAATAATACAGAAACAATACAAAATAAAACACCACCTTATTGGTAAAATAAGTTAAAAACAATTCACAGTCATCATTACTTCCAGCTGAGGCACAAGGAGGGGTTGGGTTTGCCAGCTGATCCACAGTCTTAAACAGAAACCTGGGATTGTGTTTATGTGTAGTAATGAGTTCAGAAAAATAGTGTGTTCTCGCATCCTTAACCATGTTATTGTAGTTAATTAATAAATCCTTCAGACTGAGGTAATGGACTTCAATAATGAAAATGGAGACTGGATTTTTTCCATCTGCGCTCTGCTTTCCTGCATTCCCTTTTTAGGCTGCGAATGCTGTCATTTATCCAGGGTTGCTTACTAGCTTTAGACGTAGGCCTAACCTTTAGAGGAGATTACTATTACTTGGGAATATCAATTTTATACTACTTTATACTTCTACTTCACCACATTTCAGAGAGAAATATTGTACTTTTCATTTCACTACATTCATTATATATCAGTATATTTATTCTATAGTATTGCGACTTTTACTTAAAGCCATGATTTGAATACTTCTTCCACCACTGAAAACAACTAGTAACTGTAGCTGTTAAATAAATGTAGTGGAGTTAAAAGCACAATATTTCCCTATATAGTATATCAGAAAATATAGGCTACTTAGATTCCACTTTACCTTGGCACCATTTTGCAGGAGCATCTCAGTCATTGCTTTTCCTATTCCCCCCACTGCTCCGGTCACTATTGCAATTTTACCATTTAATGCCATTTTAGTTGTTTAGTCAGAGGAGAGAAGCTCTCAGCTGTTGAGTCCCTGCAGGAGATGTAATAATGAAGAATGGAGAGAACTCACTGTACTTTTAAACTGACACGCATGGGCAAAGAGCCGGAGGCCATCAGTTTATTGCCTAACTTCATTATGGTTTAATTTTTAATTATGTTGAAACAAAAGTAATCTAACTACAGATTATCAGTGGCAAACACACACAATGGTAAGGAGATATTACTGATTTATTTAGTTTTTCTTAGAAATAGGTGCCAGGGTCCATGTGTTTAATTTCGTATTAAAGTGCATTGTAACTCACATTACTGAGATTGCAACGAGTATAATATCAGGGACATCACTTTTGCTTGCATTGAAATACAGGGTATGCGTAACCTGCACTTGCAAAATCTTTGCACTCATCTTTTTGTCCAACATGTTCATATAAAAAGCAGACATAATTAATAAAAAGCAACAGACAAACTGTTCTTCCATTTCTACTCTGTTGAACAAAAGTAATGTTACATGGGCGTCAGAAGCAAATATATATATATATATATATATATATATATATTTGACTTTTAAGTCCCCAGGAAGTTACTCTCCGCATTGTACTTGAAATAAATGAAATGGTTATATGGTTAAATGCTAGTATTATACATTGAGGTCTTATTTATAACATTAACACAATATATTGCATGTAATAATATATATTTAATTATAATAACCTTTTGAAGGAACATACACTCCTTTTTACAAAGTCCCCAGAGCAAATTTTCTAAAAAATTCTAAAGAAATATAACTTTATTTATTTAAAAATATATATCAGTGTAAACATTATGATTAGTTATAATTTTTTATAATTTACTGTGTGTCACCGAAACTGCATTCCACCCTGTTTATGGGTTTTTTGGCCTTCTGAACAAAAGAAACATACAATTTCCATAAATCCACATTCAGTAAGTAAATAACCCTATTAGGGGAGAATTCAAAGGAGCAAATTAAGTTGGACACCAAATTTTTGGCAGCTCTTTTTTTTTTTTACAAGTTTTAACTTGTATGTCCTACTCTTAAAGGAGAACTCCGGGCAATTTTTAAGTTAATCTTGATCGTTATACCTTTTGTGAGTACTGTCTATAGGGAAAAAAACGAACCGGATTGGTGCTTGCAACACGGAGCCGCTTCAGCTAATGCCCAGAGCTCCCACTCAGCTAAAACGGCAGTTATGGGGGCATATACTTAAAGAGTGTCTTTGTGCCTCTTAACAGACACAAAACGCAATTAAAATGTCTGTCCAACATGAACAGGGCCCTTACATGACAACAAGATGCGTTTAGCAACTTAGCCAATTGTGTACTGGGTGTTTGTATGGGGTGGTGCCTTTGGTGTGAGAAACCCAGGTTCAACTCTCCACTGTGACCGTCCACCATTGTGTCCTTGAGCAAGACACTTAACCCCTAGTTGCTCCAAAGGTGTGCGACCTCTGACATGGCAATTGTAAATTGCTTTGGATAAAAGCGTCAGGTGAATGTATTTTTTACAGTTATCAATTAGACAATACATTTAAAAAAAGCTTGTAGTAACTCTTCAAACATACCTAGTGAACTAAGGACTTTCTGTAGATGACACAAGAATGTATGTTCTTCTACTTAAGTTATTTCTACTTAGTCAAAATGATCAGTCCAGCCTGAGTACAACTGATCCATATGACCACAGGTTAAAGCTTCAGCGAGTGGAACTCACTTCATTACATAATATGTGTTTATGATAATAAACAATTATATGCATCAGTAAAACGGTAACCTTGTCTTTGTTCAAATGTCCTCTGATGTTCAATGTGACATCTCTTCTGTCCCTCCACTAACTCCACTTGATGCTGACTGGCTTTCCTTGCTCTTCTCAGGGTGTTTAAATTTGAGTGATGTAGTCTTCCCCTCAGCTTTAGCATTTGATGTTATGCACAATAGGCATTTTGACAGTAGTGTTTAAAGGTCTGATATGCAAAAAACATGTTAATGATCAATGTCATACCATTCATTGGTATATTCCCCAGTTAATATAAATTGTGGTGTATTTAGATAATTCTGGAAGTACTCTTAAGAAGTAATAAGGGTCTTAATCAAAAGCTAGCATCATTTTTCAAATGCTTAATTTTATGAATTTATATGTATAAAAATGTAGCTGGTATTTGAATCAGTCGATAAATAGAATTAATAAAAAATAGAAAGAGAGAATACAGTTCAGTTTTAAAAGTAGTTGAGATTGTACATGCAGACAAATGCTTCTTGAAGTCTAGGAGTTTTTTTTATTGATTAAATTCATACACTGTGTTTTGTATAGTGTTTTGAGTTGTATAGCAAACACATCATTGTTTGGAAATGGCTTTAGTGTCAAACTAATATTGTGTTACAGTGTGTTACAATACAGTGCTTTCTATGCAGACTGCATACGTTTTTATCTTTTCATATATGGCTGATGGCATAGGATATGTTTCTGTGGCCGTCCACTGACTAGTTAAGGTCTTTAAAGGATCAGTGTGTAGGATTTTGTGGCAACTAGTGATGTAATTTCAGATTCCAACTATCTGCTCTACTAAAACATACCTATGAATATTGTATAAAATTTCTACAAATAGATCCTAACACTGAGCCTTCAGGTTGAGAAAGTGATAGACTTTGGCCTCTGTTGTCAGAAGTAAATGTCATCTTTGATCAATAAATGTTAAGGTGCATGGATATTGGTAATTGTCATGTTTCTCATTAAAAATGCAATCATCTTTTTAATTGAAGTTATTTCCATTAGGGTATAGCATAACTTTAGATTATTAGGTCAGATAGCCAGTTTGAAATTTATGTTGAAGTGTAAATAACTGAAATGTAGTTAAGTAAATGTATAAATTTGAATCAATGGTAGAGTTAACTCAACAAATCAGATTAGTTATGTTGAAATTTGTTTATTAAATGAATAAGACCTTTTTAATTGAGTTGAAAGAACTATCATCAGCAGTTAAATCAACAACTGACAAAGCCAAATCAAATGAACCTACAACCAATGTTGACAGAACGTAGGCCTATTTCAATTAAGACGAAATAATCTGCCTGTTTCATTAGACTAACTAATGCACATCAACCAAACTAAGCTAAAGGTTTACACAACACAAGATATTTATTTAACATAAAGTTTTGTGATGTTAGCCCTTTCACTCATATATTTATGTTGAAACAAGGTGTTAGATTTTACAGTGTAAGGCAGATGTCTGGTTGGAAACAGTTGCACTTACATTGCTGCAGTATAGGCAACACTAATCTGTAGCCTACAAAACTGATCAATGGAAAGTAGGCTAATCTTTCATATTGTAGTTGCACATATTGGAACATCCATATGATGTGAATATTTCTGAGTGAGGATGACTGTAGTTCAGCTGAAACAAAGAAATGTAGTTATTATTTGCTGATAGTCTGAGTGTGTTTTGACATAATTTTATTAAATACGAAATGAGCAAGATTTTATAAAATAGAAGTCTAAAACTTTACAGTCAGTTTGAACCTAGACACATCTTCCGCTGCAAACTATTAATGGGCTACTAATAATCTACTGGTCGGACTGTGACTTTACAATCGGTCCATGAGTAGCCAGATGGAGCTTAGCCCCCCTTAATAAGACATCTGCTCCCCTAAAAGCATGATCTGTGATATTTTGGGGGGTCTCTAAAATATTGACAGCATGCTTTATTGCCATTAATTTCTAAATTTCTCTATCAACATGGATCCATTCGTAAAATAAGTAGTGTCAGACTACATGCAGCCAGAGGGAATGATCACCAACCGTCCACAGCGGGCCGGTCGTTCCGCGATCTCCTGTCCCTGTGCGCTCCAGCGCCTCACTCCTTGTGTTGCTTGTGTTCCTGTATCGCTATTAAGACCGGTGAGCAGTGAAGGGTTCGTGATTGTTCCCTCTGGCTGGACGAATATTAGCCTACGCACTACTGCAGCTGGGGGCTCTCCGCAGCGTCGCGCAACTTTCTAAATTCTGCCCTCTCAAGGAGAAAAGAAAGGACAGGTCGCAAAAAACACAGCTGTTGTGTGAAGCGTAATTGTAGCAAAATGGCAACATAATAATAATAAGTTGTTGTTGTTGTTGTTGTTGTTCAGCAGTAGCCTAAGAATCAAAGCCTCTTTTCTCTTAAAAAAAGAGCTCCCCCGAAACCTACGGTAAATAGTTCAGACAGTGTCAGACAGCCGCCTCAGGCTCCGCAGGAGGAGTTAGAGAGAAACTGACGATTTTCCAACTTATCCTGTGAACCAAACCTCCTCGGGAACAGCATCAGTAGCCGGAGTCACAGGGTTCATCTGATCTCGCTCTCTGAAACAGAAAACCCAGAGTTTCCCTCATCTCAGGCTTCATACACTCAAAATTTTCACTAATCACGCGCTTTCTGAAAAGGGGCCCTGATGGAAGCGCGTGCGTGGGGATGAAAAAAAAAAAAGCCATGCGCAATGGAGCTCCGATACTACAATTCACCATGGCAACGGGTAAATGAAGGCAGAGCCTCCGTTTTAATCGGGTGGATCTATAAGTATGTGTGTCAACGCGGATCATGATAGGCTATTTATGCTATGTTAAAAGGCAGGAGTGGAGGAAGAATCAATACATTTACAATATTAGCCTATATTTTATACAGCGTTGCTCATCCAAGTGCTGGAATTCTCCTTTAGGCCATTACATTCATTTGAAATAGCCTATTTATTCAGCTGTAACCTGACGGGACAAAATGCCAGTGGCAATAACTGAAGATGAAAATATTAATTGAACAGATTAGACATAGTTTAGGCCAGTGTGTGAAATATACCATAGGGTGTATTCAGGTATATTGGGACATTTGGGACAGCATAAGAAAACAGAATTTTACTTCTCCCCTAAAAAGTTTTAGTCAAAGTAATTGGTGCTTAGACCTTGCACATAACAAAAATCACAAAACATAATTTATCTCAGACATACAGATAAATCAATAAAATAAACATTTGACAACATGTTGGAGTCTTTAATCATTTCAACATCTTAATCAATAGTCTAGACTGATGACATTGGTTGAAGTAATAATAAATACAGCTATCACAACAAATGATAGGTGAAT